TTAAGAATGAGATTTGAAAAAAAAATTTCCTTCTTAACCTAATGATGACCTAAGGAGGTCGAAACGTTGTTACTTGTTTTGTGCTTTTCAAATAAAAGTTTTCAATGCCCATATCATCCGTCTCTACTATATATATATATATTTACTTCAAGTGGGTTCCTCATCATTATGTGTTATTGTGAAATTTAAGTATTCACTTAAAGTTTGAGCTCCTCTCCCCATGAAATGTCAATGAAAAATATTCATTATTGATCGAACGCAAACAGTAAATCCTAGGAGGTACAGGTGAAAAGTTTATTATTATCTTACAATTATTAATGAAATATGTGGTATAATAAATATTTGTGGAAACTATGTAACAGTAAGGTAAAACAACTGATCATTGAATAGCTGTTTTTCAATAGCCTGTAAACTCCAATTAGACTCTTAGCGAATACTCGAAAATTCACACATACCTTGTACTTAAGTTCATCAAACACTGACAAAACGCCCCCCAGTGACACAGCGGTATGTCTGCGGACTTACAACGCTAGAAACCGGGTTTCGATATTCGTTGTGGGCAGAGCACATATAGCCCATTGTGTAGCTTTGTGCTTAACTTCAAACAAACTAACTGACAAAACACACACAGAAAAGACTTTGAAAATAGGTTTATAGAAAGAGTTTGAAGTGACGTACTCGCACATTAAGAAATAAAATGGTGCTACACAATACACATCTATCTCATAATTTACAAGTTTAAATTTTGCTAAATTTGTTATATATCTTAATCGATCCTGCTCAAATTGAAAACCTAAAGAATCTATCTCTCTAACTATCAGTATGTGAGAAAGTTTGCACTCTTACAAGTGTAATAGCTATTAATTAATGGTTTATGTTATCTAAAGAGCGTTCTAATGTCCCCGAATGAAACCATTTTATTTAAAGTAGGAGTGTAAGTTCCTATGTAAAGTTACGTTAATAGCAGTCTACTTAATATAATTTAATTCAGAAAAGTTTTAGAAATATTAAATAAGCTGGTTTAGTGGTTCAAATTTACATGTTCAGACACTAGAGAGAGGC